TCTTGTGAATTTTGTAGCATTTGCATGAAAAAAAAATCTATTGAATTACATAAAATTAATGTATTGCTTTTGTAAAGATGATCATTCAAAAGGAAAAAAAAAGGGGGGTGGGAGGGGTGTTCTGGCCTCCAGGTCTATGACCTTGCACAATGTACTGAAGCACTCCAAGCCTCTGTTTCCTCAGGAGCAAAATGGAGATGGTAACAGCACCTGCCTTGTAAGGTAGGTAAGAAGCCAGAGTTCAGGAAGCACTCAGCACCACGCACAGCAAACAGGGCTCAGTAAATGTGAGTGATGGTTTTCCCTTTGTCTATTTCGCCATCGAACTCTGAGCTCCTGACAGCAAGATCCACAGCATTCGACTTTGAATGCCAGAGCTCCAAAGTCTTGAGATGTTCCCAGGTATCCATGGGACGTAACTCACATGCCCCTCTGTGGCAGCCCCGCGGCCTTTCTGACCGCACCTCTCACCCATCCTCAGATGCACAAGGACCTCTGGCTCCATGCACACACACACTGCCTCTGGCTCTCCTTCTTCCACCTTCACATTTGCTTTGCCTGGTAACCTGCAAACTGGTCTCATCCTTCGAGAGCTGAAAAGGTTCCCTCCTCTGTGTAGCCCGCCCCCTGCCCCTGGTGGACTCAGTTGCCCCTGGGATCTCAGTACAGGCTTCTGAGCAAGGCCTGTATTGTTCACTATCTACCAGTCTCTCCCACTGCTCTGAACGCTCCAGGACAGGGGCTGTGTTTGCATCTCTGTACCCCTAGCCTTCAGCATGTAGCAGGTACTTGGGAAATGCTTGTTAAATGAATAAATGAATGAATGAACGAATGGATTATTCCTGACCATTCAGTCACCTTTCAGGCAGCTTTCAGAAGTCCAATTATGGTGAGTCACTCCTGGCCTGCCCAAGCCTTGTGGGGAAAACAGTGACCTCTCCTTGCAGTCTATTCCACCAGCTCCAACCCGAGGCTGCCTCTCAGCCTGAGTGCACCCAGAGCCCTCCAGGCTGGCCTGGGAGCTGCAGCTGCGCACTGTTCAGCTCTGCAGCTATGGGGAGGCTGAGCGGCCTGCAGGGAGAGCCCCCCCCTTCCCCGCCTCTCTTCTCCCTGCCGCAGAGGTCTGCTGAAGCCCTCAACCACGCTCTGTGTTAGGAGTGCAAACAAGAAGGCAAATAAGACAATCCCTGCCTTGTATACGAAGAATGGCATGGAGGAGACAAATGTCTGGTCTACCCCACTTGATCCACCGTCTATAATTCACTGAGTGCCTTCCAATGTGCCACTCTCCTCTGCCCCTTTGCACAGTCCCATCTCTTCTCTGTGCCTCAGTCTCCTCCTCAAACAGGGGTCGAAAAATCCACCCCATCTACTCCATCAGGATTGTCTGGCAAATTGAACCAGATAATCTATGTAAATTGATCAACTATGAAAACCTGTTCCAATGTTACTGATGTTGTCTTTGTTATTTATATATCTTAATATAACAATAATGAATAACTGCAGTCTTTTCTGCAGCCACAGCAACTTGCACACAGTAGGTGTTTAATTGCTGTCTGATGCAATGAAATGCAGTCCCAGTGACGGTCATGACTTTTCAAGCCTTGGGGAACAGCGCCATCCTGTGGCCAGAATTCAAAACACAATGGACCTTCTAATAAATAGGCACTAGGCCTGGTGAGGGCTGCTGAGAACCCACAGAGGTCTTTTTAGAACAAATGCAAGAAAAGTCAATCTGACACCACAAAATAAGGAAAAATTTCTTCACCCCCAAATATGGTACAGACTCAGAGTATAAATAGATTTAATAAGGGATTAAAGCAACATACTAGATTATTCCTCCATAATGGGGTCTTTGGGAGAACTGGAGTGCCCAAGAAGGGGTCCACCCTTGTGCTCAAGTGGTCTGGCCTGAGCCTGTGGATGTGGACACAGCTGCTCATCCTTCATTTAAGAAGACTTGAACTTCACCCTGCCACTCAAAAGCTGTGTGACCTTGAGCAGATCACTGCCCTCTCTGAGCTCCAGTCTTCTCATCTGTGCAATAAGGTTATAATCCCTGCATTGGCCACCTCAGAGAATAGTTGTGAAGGTCAAGTGAGATAATAAAAGTACAACTAGTTTATAAATAGTAAAATGCTATATAAACATGATAAATGGTTATTAGTATAGCATTACCAAAAATAGAAATAACTGGCATTTATTGAACTTCTCGCTATGCTGGGCCCTTTACCATATAATATTGCTAGAGTCCCCCAAAGTGATATAAAATAAATATTCTTAGGAAGCCCATTTAGCAAATGAGGACACTGAGGTTTAGAGAAGTGTGAAATTTTCCCCAAAGACACACTCAACCTATATGGAGGAAAGCCAAGATTTGAACTCAGGACAAAGGGACCTCAATCAGGGTAGTCAACAATGTTATATCATCTAAATAGTTCCACCGAAAAGGTACTTAAAGGTAGCCCTGATACACAGAGGTAAGTGTCTTGAAGAAAACGAGAAATATTGACATTCTCTTTTTATCAGGAAATTCTGCTTTCTTCCCATCTATATCTCAGCAACTCCTTTGACCTTGGGTCCTCCAGGAAGAGGGGAACTCTTGGGCCCTGTACCCAGGGTCCTGCTTACAGCCAAGGTCTGAGAATCCCAAAAACAATCCCTTCCTGGGTCCAAACCTGGAAAGGGTCATGCATGTTCCCATAGGAGCTGGCAAAAACAGATGGGGGCACAGATCCCAAATCAAGGTTCCTGTTGAACAGATGGTACCAAAATCTGTTGGGAGAAGGTGGCTATTTTTCAGTAATCATAATGACCCTCATATGTCTAGAGTCTGCTGGGGCTTTATGAGTGTCCCCTATCCATGTTCTCATTATTTGACCCTAAGAACATGCCTTTGAGATCAGAATCCATAGCCCTTGTTTACAGATAAGGAAGCTGAGGTTCAAAAAGATTAAATAACTTGTCCAAGGTCATGCGCCAGTAAGTGGCCGAGATGAGACTCAAATTCAAGATTCCAGAGTACAAATTCTCTGACTCCCGAGGACCACGCCTGTTTCCGATGATGGTCCTGGTTCTGGCCCTGCTTGTGCCATCAGCTGGCTGGGTGAACTCAGACAAGCCACTGAGCCTTGGTTGCTTTATGTCAAGAGATCCCTGCCAGTTCTGACTGTCCTTTATGCATGTCCTTGAGCCAGAGCGAAGAGGGTGTTCAGCAGCATCCGAAGGCTGCACAGAGCAGCAGCTGTGACTCTGCCTCCCTTGGGAAGCTTTTCCTGCCTGCGCAAGGCTGAGTTATCATCTGTGCCGCGCTCCCCCGGCACTCACAGCACTGCACCGTAATTCATCTGCAAGTTCCCCGGGGGCCAGGCAGGAAGGTCAGATGTGATGCAATTGGGAGTAGTAGGGACTATGGCAAGTAGAGGGCCCCTGGCCTAGGAGGCAGTCCCTGTGCAGCTCCAGCTCCTTATCATCGTGCAACGAAGCCAGTCCAGTGTTGCCATCTCTTAAGAGAAGTCAAAAAATGTGGATATTTATGTGACATCTGCTTTTTAAATGTAGATGATACATAGTTCATCAATTACTTCATAGTTATTGTAGCCCATGGATTAGCCTCTAGACTTCGGACCACTTAAGAACATTGCTGGGTCTCTCTGAACCCTTAGTGCCAGCTGCATCCCCATAAGTGACAGGTGATTAGATAGATAGATAGATAGATAGATAGATAGATAGATAGATAGATTTCAGAGAGAAAGGGAGAGAAAGAGAGAGATACAAACATCAATGATGAGAGAAAATCATTGATTGGCTGCCTCCTGCATGTCCCACACTGAGGATCAAGCCTGCAACAGGGCATGTACCCTGACCGGGAATCAAACTGTGATCTCCTGGTTCATAGCTCAATGCTCAACCACTGAGCCACACTGGCTGGGCCAGTGATTGCTTTTGAAATGTTGCAGATCTTGTCCCAGTCAAAGCCCTGCTAATCCGACTGGCGTGGATTAAGGGATTACTGCTTTAAGCACTTTACATAGTACCTGACTTAATTCTCACAACATCCATACTCTGATCCCATCCATTTTGCAGGCAAGGAAGCCAAGACTCAGAGAGTTTGCACAACTGGCCCGAGCAGTACCTAGGATTCCAATTCAGGCATTCCATCTCCACAGGTCTCATACTGCCCCAAGAGTCCCCTTTAATATCACCTGTAGTCACTCAGCCTCAACAAGGATCCCCATGTACCCGCATGCATGGTTACCAGTCTTAAGAATAGCGGGGGCCAGGGCACGTGGCACAAACGGAGACAAGAACATCTGTGCTGCAGAAAGTGGACTGGTGTTCAGGGAGGGCACCTTCCAGCCTATGACTGCGCTGCCAGATCAAGCCAAAATCAGTGTTTACCTCTGTCCCCAGGACACCAAAACCCAGCTTCCCCCAGAAGAAAATGTATAGAGAGACAGAAAAAGCCAAGGAGAGGCCTGGATATTGCTCATCCCATTGAAAAGCCAAGCACTCTCTAAACCAGCTAAATAGTTCCGAAGGAAATGGGAGTCTATTTTGTGTCCTGTCGCCCGGGCTGCAAGTCCTGATATATCTCAGGCCACAGAGAGAAGTGGATGGCTCAGCACTTGGAGAGATGCCCGCACGAGGCAGGAAGTGGGGTGGATGATTCAACAGGTACCTCTCTATTCTGAGAACTGATCCTGTGATGGGTGAGTGTACATCCAGCTGAGATAAAAAATAAATTTGAATGTCGACCATTGGAATATACTGCAAGCCTCCCTTTCTTTCAGGGCGCTTGAAGCATCCTTTGGGACTTTAATCCTTAAAAGTTTTCTATTTTTAAAAATTTACTGGGGCGATGAGGCTCTTGGGAAGCTGGGGTGGGCTGGTGACTCAAAGGCTTCCCCTCCTACCCACACACCTCCAACAAGATGCTCAAGTACTGAGGTTCCACGGACTCTGCTTGGGGCACCACACTCTCCACCCTCAGTCTTTCTTATCTGTAAAATGCGGGCAGGTTGCTGAGAAGAAGTTTGGGGCTCAATGTGTTTTACAACTTTGGATTTCAGAAGGTTTTATGATAGCTCTACCACATTGTATGTATGTAACATGCCCAGCGAACTCTGGGACAGTACTCCATAAACACGTTAATTTTTCCACAGCAAATGTATAAATAGTCACACCAAGTCGGGTAAAATAAAGACTATAAAGAACCTCACTTTCAATTCACATCAAGTGGCTTTTAGAGCATTTGGGGATCTCAGAATTTGTATGAAGTGCCAGCTTTGGCTCCAGGAACACCTGGGTTTTCATCCAGACTGCAATTTACCAGCTGGCTGACCTTGTACAAGACACACCTACTCTCTGTGCCTCAGTTGTCTCATCTATAAAATGGGACTGTAATCTCTCTGGTGGCTTTTAGGAGGTTCATGAGGAGATGCAGGCTGCTGCACTGGGAGGGGTGCTGGCCACAAGGACAGATGCCAGGAGGAGACCTTGGTGAACCCATCACGGTTTGGGGTATGCCTACACACAAGGCAGAGGCAGATCCCCTTTAGCCAAATGTGTAAGGCTGATGCACAAACAGAAGATCCATTTATTAAGGGAGAGCACAGGAAATCCAACTGGCAGCAGGACGGGGCATTTCTGTCCGCCTGACCAGCACAGAATTCCCTGCAGTGAGAGCTCCATGGTGATTCATGGCTCACAGGGCTCACTAGCTGGAGGAAGTCAGGACAAGGGACAGCATTAATCTGAAGAAGCATTTCTCAGCAGAGGCAACTGGAGGGGATGGCTTGCCCAGGAAATGGGAATGACGCTCTGGCCAGTACAGCCAGGAACCCGCTCCCTGGACAATGCCAGCCTTTGGCTCTGTGACTCTCCTCCTTTCTCTACTCCCATTCATGCCTCCATTCCTTCTGACCAGGTTTTCCTTGGAGAGCCAGTCACATGCCAGGCCTCCTCCCAACCACACCTCCTCAGAAACTCTGTGGGGCATTTGATTGGCCCAAACGCTTCAGTCACGTATTTGCAGACAGCTAACTGGCCGCTCCTAGAAAAGGCTGGTTTACATCCGTGGCAGATCGGATGCTCCAAAGGTGGTCACAGCCACATCTCTCCCTCCACATGCTCTTCTGGAGCCTGTGCCTTAGCTCTGGGCAAGCTTTCAGCTTGCTGGTAACCAGCAGAAAGGGTAGGAGTGATGTGTGTACCTTCTGAGGCCAGATCTCAGAACACCATGCAGCTTCCGGGTTGTTAGCCGGAATACTGGTCCGGAAAGTCTTCAGCTCCCACGGAAGCATTGTAGTCTGGCTGTCCTGAGGCCGCCATGTTGCGAGGAAGCCCAAACTCTCCATGAGAGAAGCCCTAAGATGAAACAGAGAGAGAGAAAGATCTAGCCAGCCACCACCTACCCCAGCCGCATCCATATCCAACTGCAATGGCAGGAGAGATCCCAGGCCAGAACCACCTCCCTAGTCAAGCCCTTCCCAAATTCCTGACCCACAGAAACCAACAGAGATAATAGTAAAAGGATTGTTGTTGTTCTAAGTTACCACTTTTTGGACGGATGTTACACAGCAAAAGATAACCAGATAAGGGGCAATTTTATTGCCCTTCTCTGTAGGGTGGCCATATCTCCCAGTTTGCATGGAACAGTCCCAGTTTACACCGTTTGCCTGGTATGATTAATGTGGTATTGATGCCTTCCTCTCCCAGAAACACCTGTTTGGATAGTAAATTATATGGTCACCCTACATTTGGCCAAGTTCTTAGAGCACCCTACAAATCCTGGCAACAATCCTCCCCCTCACAGTCTATAATAAATATAAGTGAGGTGCCTCGTGAATAGAGAGCATTTGAGAAATTGATGCTGGTTCCCTTGTCCCTTCTCCTTCTCCCAATTCCATTGTCTGTCTGCTCAGCAGTTTTTCCAAGAGATGGCTCAGGCTCAGTGCCCACACAACCTCCAGAATGCCTTCCCCCAATAAACGTACAACCTTAGTAAAAACATACGTACAACCTCAGTAAACAAAAAACTCAGCAATTGCAGCTTCAAAATAAGCCCAGGACTCCCCTTTTTCACCAGATAGCTGTCACTAAGCTCCTCTCATGCAGAAATTCTGGACCCATGGAAAAGTCCCAGGAGGAAAAAGGGACCTCTTCAAACCTCAGGAAAGCCCTTCACCATCCATAAGGGTGAAAGCTTTTTTATTTTTTAATATATTTTATTGATTTTTCACAGAGAGGAAGGTAGATGGATAGAGAATTAGCAACATCGATGAGAGAGAATCATCGATCAACTGCCTCTTGCACGCCCCCTACTGGGGATGTGCCTGTAACCAAGGTACATGCCCTTGACCGGAATCGAACCTGGGACCTTTCAGTCTGCATGCCAACGCTCTATCCACTGAGCCAAACCGGTTTCGGCGAGGGTGAAAGCTTTTGAGGACACAAAACCACTCGCAATTCCTGACTCAGCAGCTCACTCATTGGGCTACGTACCCAACCATCCTGGGCCTGCTTCTCCCCACGTACATCAATGGGAGGGTTGAGACCTCTCTCTAGAACTCTTACAATTAAAGAAATGTTTATGTGAAGCACTAGCACAGTGCCTTACATACAGTAAGCACTCCATAAACGCTACCTCCCTTGGTAAGGCATTGGAGGTTCCTATTAGAAAGTGCATTTGAAAAATCAATAAAATATATTTTAAAAATAAGTAAATAAAATAAAATAAAATACAGAACAACCATCATTCAAAACTGCTGGAAAGCTGGCTGAATGGAAGTCCTACAACTAGAGAAGTAGAGGAGAAAGCACACTGAGACTGGTATGAGATGCAGAGGTGCAGAACAGGCTGGTCCAGCACCTACATGGGCTGCTTTGTTAATCAGGAGGGAGATCATCTCTGCAGAGCCCACCCAAAGGAGCAAGGGGCCCCAGCCCCATACCAGAACCCCAGCCCAGGGTCCCAGAGCTGGGAAAAGAAGTCCCTACAGGAAGTAAGAACTACAGGCTGTAAAAACCAGTGGGGATTGGGCTCAGTAACACAGAGGCTGCTGGAGACCCAGCTGTTCCTCTTAAAAGGCAGGCACCACGATTTGTACTTACAAGGTCCTGCTTCCTCTGAGCTCCAGCCCCAGGGCAAGGCTCTGTGGAACACAGACACATACGAGGAGAAACTGGATTCTCTGGCATCAGGGCAGGAACTCAGGGGCAGCTTTCTCCCCGATGGAGATGCTTGCAGGGATCATTGTTCCTATGCTGAGGCCACCCCAGTTGCAGGCCTGACTGGAAGCCATTTCTGTTTGTTCCACCCAGGTGATTCCCTAAGACCCCACCTCATCCAATTTACAACCCCACCCAAGCTGTGTGCTAAAGTCTCTCAAACAAGCTGCAGCTGAGTCAGAGAGCCCCAAACCTATCAAAAAAAGGCCTAAGACCCAGCACCAGCACCAGCCTGCCTTGCTTCACAGCTGGGCCTCATCTGGGCACTTCCAAACTCAATACAAAGAGAAGCAATCTTCAGATTTCTCTGTAGCTCCTACTGGGAGGCCTCAGGTAATGGCTGACTTTCCACCTTCCTGGACACCCAAGAGCCAGTGTTACCCAGTGGTCAGTGTCAATCCATACCAGATTACAACTTTACACATCCATAAATGACACATTCAAAGGACAGACTCAGTGAGCACCAAAGCCCCACCAAAGCAAGTCCTGCTCCTTACAGGTATCTCCATAGTAGCTCTCCCACAGTAGTTGCAGCTGGTCCTCGCAGCCTCTAACTGCCTCTACCTCGGCCCTGCCACCATGGCTTTGTCCAGAAGAGCATCCAAAAGGTCTCCTGGAAGGTCTCCCAGTCTAATTAGCATATGACCCTTTTATTAGTATAGATAGAGGCCTGGTGCATGGATGAGGGCTGGCTGGTTTGCCCTGAAGAGTGTCCCAGATCAGGGTGAGGGTTCCCTGGGTGAGGGGCTGAGGGCCATTTTCAGGCTGGTCAAGCGCCCCAGTAGGGACACTCACCCCATGGGAGGGTGTGGCCAGCCTGGGTAAGGGGCTGAGGGCTGTTTTCAAGCTGGCCACACCCCCATCAGGGTGGGGGTCCCCATTGAAGTGCCTGGCCAGACCAAGTGCCTGGCTGATGGCTGTTTGCAGGCTGGCCATGCCCCCCCAGTGATCCAGACTCCCAGCCCCTCCTTTTTTCCTTTTATTTTTTCCAGCACCTCTTTTAGCAGAGGCCAGGGTGGAAGCAGGTATCTGGGATTTATTTATCTCCTATAATTGAAACTTTGTAGCCTTGAGCAGAAGCCAGGGCCGGCCAGGGAAGGTGGGATGCAAGGCTTCCTCCATCACTGGGGGCAACTCAAGCCTCCTGCTCACTCCAGTTTCATTGCCACAGCCATCTTTGTTGGGTTAATTTGCATACTCACTCTTGATTGGCTGGTGGGTGTGGCTGGTGGGTGTAGCGGAGGTACAGTCAATTTGTATGTTTCTCTTTTATTAGTGTAGATAGATGTTGGCAGGTATTCTTTAAGAAGAGAAAGAAAAAAAGATAAAAAATATGAACAACAAAATGGCAACAAATACATACCTATCAACAACTGAATCTAAAAATAAAAATAAAAGAATAGGAAATCTAATGAACAGAATAAACTGATAAAATAAAATAGAATCAGAGGCATGGAAATGGAACAGACTGATGATTCTCAGAGGGAAGAAGGGTGGGAAAGGCAGGAAGAGAATAAAACAAATATTTTATATGTATACTAGAAGCCTGGTCCACAACATTCATGCACTGGGGAGGGGGGATCACTCAGCCTGGCCTGCCCCCTCTCACAGTCCAGGACCCCTCAGCAGTCCTTAGCACTTCCTCAGAGATAGGAGAGTCTCCCACCACTGCCACTGCACTCACCAGCTGTGAACCCAACTTCTGGCTGAGCAGCACTCCCCCTGTGGGAGCACACTGATCACCAGGGGGCAGCTCCTTCATTGAGTGTCTGCCCCCTGGTGGTCAGTGCACAACACAGCAACTGGTCATTCTGCCATTCAGTTGATTTGCATCTTAGCCTTTTATTATATAGGACATGCATTACCTATGGACACAGACAATGGGGTGCCGAAGGCCTGGGGGAGGGCGGGAACTGGGTGGAGGTGACAAAAGGGGGGGAAAAGAGGAACATCTATAATAATCCATAGAGGGCAAAGGAGCATCATTAGAGGAGTGGTCCCCCCAGCACTAGGCACATCCAAGCAGAGGTGACAGCAACCAGCCAGACAGGTGACAAGGAAATGCCTGTCTGGAGTGCAAGTTTGACCAGATGAATAAGAGGATCCCATACAGCCCCAGTACTCACTCTTCCCTCCCCAGAAGGCCTGTTCCTTCCTCTGAAATGTTCTTCCCCCAGATCTCCCCTGGCCTGCTCCCTCTGGTCCTGCAGACTCCGCTCAAATGTCCCCTCCTCCCAGGTGCCTTCCTGAAACACTACCTTAAAAGTACTGCGCCCCAAATCATTCTCTAACACACATCCCTGTGACAGCGTATTTACCCACTTCTCACTTCTCTTTGTACACCTACCATGGTCTACCTCCCTCTTTTATTTTATTTTTTAATATATTTTATTGATTTTTTTACAGAGAGGAAGGGAGAGGGAGAGTTAGAAACATCGATGAGAGAGAAACAGCAATCAGCTGCCACCTGCACACCCCCCACTGGGGATGTGACCGAAACCAAAGTACATGCGCTTGACTGGAATCGAACTTGGGACCCTTGAGTCCATAGGCCGACGCTCTATCCACTGAGCCAAACTGGTTAGGGGCAGTGGTCGGCAAACTCATTAGTCAACAGAGCCAAATATCAACAGTAGAACGATTGAAATTTCTTTTGAGAGCCAATTTTTTTAAATTGAAACGTCTTCTAACACCACTTCTTCAAAATAGACTCACCCAGGCCACAGTATTTTGTGGAAGAGCCACACTCAAGGGACCAAAGAGCCGACCCCTGGGTTAGGGCTACCTTCCTTCTTTTAGAAGGTACCCTCCATGCCCAGCTGGCATGGCTCTGTGGTTGAGCATTGACCTATGAACCAGGAGGTCACAGTTCAATTCCTGGTCAGAGGCCACTCATGCATCCAACAAACATTTCCCAAGCGCCTACTATGTGGTAAACACCATTTTAGATGCTGGGGACACAGCACTGAGCAAGACACGTAAGATCCCACCTCTCATGAGGCTTCCTTTCTAATGAGGAGACAATAAATAAGTGAACAAATAAACAAGAGAGACCCATGTTAGGCATCCAGTAAAGCACCTAAGGGGTGTACAGAAGCAGCAGGGGCCAGGTATCTCCCGAGTGTGGAACCCCAGCTTCGCTATGCACTGCTCAACCTAGAACACCTCTCTGGGCCTCCATCTCTTCATCTGTGAAATGGAGAGAATAACAGGCCCCACCTCATAGGTCGGTGGTGAGAATGAAATGAGTTAATGTGAGTTCTTGCAGTAGTACCAGGCGCATGGTGAGTGACAGAGTGAATGAGGACAGGGCAAGGCTACTCAGAGGGCTGGTCAGGAAACGCCTGTGTGCTGGGGAAACAGGGAAGATCTAAGGGAGATGCATTCCAGGCAGCAGAGAACAGCAGGTGAAAAGGTCTCAAGACAGGAAATGAGCCTGGGTATGACCCAGAAAGAGGCAGCAGCTGGTGAAAAGCTACCACTTAGAAACTTGCAGGCCATGGAACAGAAAGGGCTTTTATCCTCAGGATCAAGGTAAGCCATTGAAAGATTTTAAGCAGTGGAGGGAGGAGGCAAGGAAGGAGGGAAGTTGGACATGCTCTGATTTCATATAAAGGGGGATCAGTCCAGCTTAATATCATGTGGAGAAAGGACAGTGAGACGGGCAGAAAGAGACAACCTGGGGGTCAGCTGGGAGGAGGAATGGAGGCAAGATCACATCTAAGCCCAGGGACCAACTACTCAGAATGAGGCAGCAGCCCTGACTGGTTTGGCTCAGTGGATAGAGCGTCGGTCTATGGACTGAAAGGTCAGGTTTGATTCCAGTCAAGGGCATGTACCTTGGTTGCGGGTACATCCCCAGTGGGAGGTGTGCTGGAGGCAGTTGATCGGTGTTTCTGTCTCATCGATGTTTCTAGCTCTCTATTCCTCTCCCTTCCTCTCTGTAAAAAATCAACAACAAAAATAATTTTTTTAAGAGAATAAGACAGGAGACTTCAAATCCTCCTCCATCTGGGGTGTGCAAGGACGTCCGGGCAAAAATATGGAAAAGATGATTAAACTCTGACATGAGAGAAAGACTGCAGCAGATGGCCTGTGGGCCTTAGGGGAGAGACATGATCTAAACAATTTAGAAAAACTACATCTCCCATTATAATTTACAAAATACTACAATTTACTATTGATACCCATTACACTAACATTAATTGGGTGTTTACTTAGTGCCCAGAGTAGGGTGCTAAATTCATTATCTCATTTAATTCTCAGAAAAATCTCTAAACATTCATTCAACAAACATATTGAAATATATTACAGGCACTGTTCTAGACAGAGTTGCTGCCAGCACAGAGCTTACCCTCTAGAGGCAGAGACAGAACAAAAACAAAGAAACAAAATATTTCAGTGTAGCCGAAACCGGTTTGGCTCAGTGGATAAAGCGTCAGCCTGCAGACTGAAAAGACCCAGGTTCAATTCTGATCAAGGGCATGTACCTTGGTTGCGGGCACATCCCTAGTTGGGGGTGTGCAGGAGGATGTGCAGAAGGCAGCTGATCAATGATTCTCTCTCATCAATGTTTCTAACTCTATCCCTCTCTCTTCCTCTCTGTAAAAAAATCAATACATCAATGTATATTTTTGAAAAGTATTTCAGTGTAATGAGGGCTCTGTGGAAAACAAAGCAGAGTAAGGGGGTGAAAAAGGATGGAGGGAGGAGCAGCTGTTTTAGGAATGGTGGTCAGAGAAGATCTCACTGAGGAAGTAACTCGAGATAACAGTAAAGGAGCAAGCGTGGGCACTAAGGGTCCAAACACAAAGCTGGAGATGGTGGGGGAGCTGGCATTCAAGATGCATTTTGAAAGAAAAACAAAGAGGATTCAGTAAAGAACTAAATGTGGTGGCAAAGGGGGAAAAGAGTAGTAATGATGACTACAAGGTTTTAGATTGGGAGACAATTTATGGAAACAGATGTTGCTATTAACATTTTCATTTTGCAGATAAGTAAGCAGCTTTAGAGATCCGAATAACCTGTCCAAGTTCACCCAACTGGTGAATGGAATTACATACTTTTACTTTTACCTTCACAGCACCCGCTTAGTGTTATCTCCAATTTACAGATAGCCGAGGAAAGTGAGGCCCAGCTAGAAAGGAGCAGTCAAGAGTAGATACCAGCCGAAACCGGTTTGGCTCAGTGAAGAGTCGGCCTGCGGACTGGAAGATCCCAGGTTCCATTCGGGTCAAGGGCATGTACCTTGGTTGCGGGCACATCCCCAGTAGGGGTATGCAAGAGGCAGCTGATAGATGTTTCTAACTCTCTATCCCTCTCCCTTCCTCTCTGTAAAAAAAATCAATAAAATATACATATATATATATATGTTTTATTTTATTTTTTTTTAAAGAGTAGCTACCAGATCTGTCTAGTAGCTGATATATTTCCCAATAACGGAGGCAGGCTGGAAGACTGACAAGGAAAACCTAGGAGACAGGGCAGAAGAGGAACCGAGGTGTGAGTAAAATCGCGCCCTCAAAAGATTCACTTTCATCGTTTTGAAATTCCCCAGTAAGATTCCAGGACAAACGCCATAGGCTGGGAGCCGCGGAGAGGTCAGCACTGTCGCCCATTGTAGCAAAGGGCTTCCTGGGTGGCCCCGTCAGAATCGCAGTTGCTAACTTAAAATGCCCATTCGTGGGCTCCACATACTGGAGTCTGCATTCTTTTTTTTTTTTTTCAAACGAGGGCTCCAGGCATCCTCGATATACAGTCAAGTTTGAGAACAGTGGTTTGAACCCTGGCGGCCACCTCCTAAATTAGCAGGCTGGACAGGTTCCCAAACTGGAAAAGATGGGGGCGAAGGGAGCGAGGGAGTAACAATAAAATCCTCCACAGACGCTCGGCTTCTACCGCTGAGGCTCAAACCACGTGATTGGTTGGAGATGGCTGGAGCCGACTGGGTGCAGAGCGGCCGAATGTCCCGCAAGGCATTGTGGGACGCAGGGGGCGGGGCCGTCAGCCGCTCCCGCCTCCAGCTTTGACGGCATGGCTGCCACGTTTCCATAAATCTAAACGCCTTCTGGGGGCGTCGCCGGATGCCCCGTGGCGTGACTGTAAACACCCTTCTTATGTCTAAGAGCCTACAAGGCAAAGGAAGCCACTTCCCAAAGAGCAGTAACACATTTCCGGTGTGCCTTCGCTTTACGACTCGCGTTCCGCCGCCGAACCCAAAGGAAGCGGGAGCGCGGTTTACGGCAGCGCCTGTCAGGTTTACGGCAGCGCCGGTCAGGTTTACGGCGCCGGTCAGTGCGCGCGCATCTTCTCGCCTGTCCAGTCTTCTCAAGAGTGCCCCGGGTAGCAAGCCGTCTGGCCTGGTCTATCTTTCGCCATCCGGGCCGGCCGAGGCCCCAAAAGGTGAGTGATGTGTTCCGTAGGATTCCGGGGACCTCCGGCGCCGGCTTGGGCTGGGCCCGGCCTTCAGAGGCTCCCGGAAGAGACCCTCCGGACGTCCCCACCTGCGGCCGTTGTCCCTCCGCTGGAAGTGCCAGGAATCCGTCTTCCGGGCCCCGGGTCCAACAGTCGGGGTGCGTGAGGTCCCTGGTTCTAGACTCCGCTTCGCGCCCAAGGGCTGAGCGAATTTAACAATGTCACTTGACTCAGCTGGGCTTCAGGGTCTTTTAAGTGCCCAAAGCTTGAGTTTCTGGGAATGCCAAGCTAATCGGTGTTCGGCCCTGCTCTGAGGAGTTCCCAGTCTAAAAGTTTCCTTCCATTTAACGTGAAGTAGAAGGAGTATGTTTGATCTCAGATCCGAACCACCAGGGCTTGATGGGGTACGTCCTGCAGTGGCCGCAATAATTACACAGTACCGTGGCCTGCCTGCCAGAAGGCCCCTCTGACTGTCCTGTTGGTGCCCCGCCCAGCTGTCAGGCCATTTTAACTGAAGGCTCGGTTTGTCCTACCTGTTCTGTTCTGCTCACTTATTTCACATGTGTGGGAACCCGGACTTCCACCCCCAGGAAGAATGCCTGGCAAACTCTTCGTCTACCATTTCCTCGTTGAGCTAACAGATGAAGCCGACTTTTTAAAGTGTGTTTTGGAGACATCGTTGTTGTGCTATTAAGTACAGTCTGAAACCCCAGATCTTTTCAGACTGCTCTCCAGCTAGATTATGATGGGGAGAATGCTGGACTTACCCGCAGACAGCCCTGAGAATCAAGTCTATTTTGATGTGTAGATCAACCCTTTGATTTGGCTGAGCTACAAATATTTATCTCTAAAGTGGGGTGAGGGAGAGTTAGTGGTGTTAAGGTGTCTAGCACAGTGCCTGACACTGGTAGCAGCCCAATACTTGAGTTCTGCGTCTGTCACCCCTTCCCTCGGGCCCCATTTTGGAGTATAACTTAAGTTCAGAGTTGGCAGGTGGAGCTCACAGGTTCATTCTCTCGCTGTCACCCAACTCCAGTTGCTGACCTCGGTAGGAAGCCTTCGTCTCCTTACTAACTTCAGTGTCCTGAGCTCTTTGACTGCTCTCTGGCCTCCAGAAATATTTGTGTAATGAGTTTTCCTCTGGGAACTCACCATCTGAGCATATTCAGGGGGTCTTTGATAGAAATTGCCTAAAACATCTCTTGGGAGGCCCTGGTTTTTACCCTCCTCAGAGGAGCTATAGCATTAGACTAAAGCCAGACTGCCAGGGTTCCGTATTGTTCATCAACCAGCATTATGACTTTGGGCAATTTCTTTTCTAAAAAGTAGGGATAATACTGGCCCCTACCTCAGACTGTTGGGGGTGGAGGGGTTAGTGAATGTGCATGATATTCACTAAGAACCATGCCTGGTACTCAAATACCTGCGAACGTTTGATGTATGGCCACTTTTATGGCCTTCTGCTTAGCTCTGTGTCCACTTGCCCTGCATAAGGATTTGCTTTGATGACAGACTATTAGAAGAACAAGAAAAGAAAGTTGAATTTCAGGATATACTTACAGACTCTTATTTTTCTCTGAGTAGATGTATTTTTACAAGTCTGAATAGAAATTGGGTAGCATTTACAATGAAAGAAATTTTGTGTGTTCGCTAATAAAACAATGGACTTATTTTACACATGAAAAATAGGTTTAATATTTTATGTCTTGGTGAAGTTGTTTCTAAGAACCTGAACATAGTATTTACACTTGACTGCATTTTATGAAATCTTTGAGAGACCACCAAATTTAAGAGGCACTATTATTTTATGTAGCACCATTATTTTCTATAACAGTAAGAAAGAAAAACTGCCAATTTGCACCACCAAGAGTGAGGTGCAAACTCATTTGAAAGATGTTACGGTGGGAAAAAAGTCAATAAAGTAGAGAAAATTAATTTTGTTAGTAGTCTTCTCAATTATAAGTATTCACAATGTTATTTACAAGAAAACAAAGGAGTAGGTAAGATGTGAGGGTTCCATTTCATATGTTGCTTTTTAATTTAATCTATGTCTTAGCTTACCCCAAATAGGCTTTTTTTTTTTTTTTTTTTTAACCTTTAGGCTTTTCTTCATGAAGCTACTTACATTTTTTGTATATTTAAGGTTGTAGAAGATGGCAAAGTTCATGACACCCGTGATCCAGGACAACCCCTCAGGCTGGGGTCCCTGTGCAGTCCCCGAGCAGTTCCGGGATATGCCCTACCAGCCATTCAGCAAAGGAGATCGGCTAGGAAAGGTACTTGTCTGTCAGCGGGAGTCTGAATCTTTAAGCCTGTGGCCGCTCCCCTCTCTGAGTTCATTACATTTCATTCTCTCAGAAGCATTACTCCTGTGTTCCTTGTAGGGACACCAGCTGGGAAAGGGTATGACCTCTGGATACTTCCAGTAGTCATCGGAGAGCGGGGCACTTACAAAGGCACTGTGAGCCAATCCTGCTGCTGTCCCACAGTGTCTCGCTTTGGGGGGTTTCTGGGTCAACAGAAAACTGCCTGCTTGACCTGTGTGCTCTGTCTTCCCTTGTTGCTCTTACTAGGTTGCAGACTGGACGGGTACCACATACCAAGATAAGAGGTACACGAGTAAGTGTTCTCAGACTGACTGCCCAATCATGTCCCTGGAAAAATTGTTACTTTTTCTGGTAACCTCCACCTGAAAGTGTTCTAGAATGGTGACAAGATGCTGATAATTCATAATTTAAGAGTTTATTCTAGACCCTGGCCACTATCACATTTTTTGGAAGTAGCCCCAAAAGTTAGACTGTTCGTTAAAGAAGTTTGACCTATTATAGTGGGATTACTACTCCCACCCCCCACTTTTGAGGAGCCAGGTACCCTTTTTTATTCCCATTTTGCATTTTATTGCTTGGGGTTTATTGAAACAGTAAAGGTACACAGTGGATTCCAGTTTAAAATTCCTGGGTTTAAGATGCTGATACAGTAAATTGGTTTTTTGTTTGTTTGGTTGGTTGGTTGGTTGGTTTTTTTATTGATTTTTTTACAGAGAGAAAGAGAGAGGGATAGAGAGTTAGAAATATTGATGAGAGAGAAACATCGATCAGCTGCCTCTTGCACACCCCCTACTGGGGATGTGCCTGCAACCAAGGTACATGCCCTTGACCAGAATCAAACCTGAGACCTTTCATTCCGCAGGCTGACGCTCTATCCACTGAGCCAAACCAGTTTCGGCAGATTTTTTTTGTTGCTGTTTGTTTGTTTGTTTGTTTGTTTTATCAGAAATAGTTGGAAGTGGCTCTCTGGAATAGTAAGATTATCTGAGTCTGAGGGCAGCCATTAGACATGTCTGTCCTGGGCACCAGATGATGAGAGTGATGGTCCTTATCCCATATTTGCCTCTCCTGCAAGAATAAACTTTAACTCACACTCTTACAGCCTAAGACAGAGAGTGGGATGGGTTGGTTTATCTTGAGTTCCTCAGATTCTGTCTTAACTTTAAAAGCCTTTAGATCAGAACTTTTCAAACTTGAATCACCTGGGGATCCTTTTTAAATGCTGGTTCTGAGTCAGTGGGTCTGGGTGAGGCTGTGAGTCTGTGTGTCTACGATGCTCCCAGCCAATGTTCAGGGTCCCAAGACCACACTTACCTTACAGGGCTTTAGGCTGGGGTGTATTGTGAAGTCTGTAGGTGGTGGCTGTTACACATTATCACCTTTGCCTCCAGATAAGTACTCCTCTCAGTTTGGTGGTGGAAGTCAGTATGCTTATTTCCATGAGGAGGATGAGACTAGCTTCCAGCTGGTGGACACAGCGCGCACCCAGAAGACTGCCTACCAGCGGAATCGAATGCGATTTGCACAGGTAGGCCAAGAACCAGCAGTCGACCGCCTTAGGGCTGTCACCTGCTGCTAAAAGTGCAACCCTGATGAGAGGAAAGCATACTAGGGTCTTCTAATGAACTCCAAGGAGCTCCTCAGTGACAAACTATGTAAAGTAAACCTGACTAGGTCCAGCAATGCATTTAAATAGCTTAGATTTCTGTTGACCTAGGACATTATACCCCTGTGCTAAGAATGACGTTTGTGCCAGATGAAAGGGCATGTCTGTGCCTATTACCTGGCTTAATTGCTAGACTGCATGCAGACTTTATTAAGCAGATGGTCCAGTTGGATCACATCTTATTACATAAAGAGGCAAACTCAGCAACTCTAATAAGAGCCAGTAAACTTCAGTAAAATATGTGTGTGAATGTACATCTAAGCTAATTCCAAGTATTTACTCAACTAAACCCCCAAACTGATTATTATTAGATTAAAAGCAAAGTAAAATGTGCAACTTGGCCCTGATATGTGTGGCTCAGTTGGTTGGAGCATCGTCCCATACACGAAAGGTTGTGGGTTTGAGTCCCAGTCAGCGCACATAACCTAGGTTATGGGTTTGGTCCCCAAGGCAACCAAATGATGTTCTCTCTCTCTGTGTTTCTCCCTTCCTCCCTCTAAAATCAATAAAGCATTTAAA